ACAAGGGCCACTCCACCTTTTTGAAGTGATTAAGAATGAGTTATAAAATTATGCTACCTCCATACAATGGAATACTATTCAGAAAAAAAATGACCTACAGATGTAAACAAATCTCTAGTGCATTATGCTAAGTGAAAGAAACCAGATGTAAAAGGTATGTATGATTCTCTTCATATGGAATTCTGGAAAAGGCAAAACTAGAGGAGGAGAAAATAAATCAGTGGTTGACATGGAGATGAGAGTGGGAATGGGGGTTAGCTATAAAGTAGTACAAGGAAATTTTGAGGAGAGTAGGGAATGTTCTATATTTTGACATGATGGTAATTACTGTATGCATTTGTCAAAACTCACAGAACTCTACACTAAAAGGGTGAATTTTACACTATGTAAATTACATCTGAGTAAACTTGGAGGAAAAAGAAAAAAAAAAACTGTGTTCTGGGACATGGGCAGTATCCATTAGGATTTATCATCTTGAGTCTATGTGTGTTCAGGACATGCTAAGACCTATGAACTCAGACAGGGATATGATCTTTGGAGCAAATATATATTTCTAGTATCGTTGATGTTGTCAGGAATATATATTAGTGTGCACCCAACTGTATCAACCAGTCAATAAAAGGATAAATAACTGATTTTTTTTTTTTCTGTTTAAGGCAGTGGAGGAAAATAATACTGCTTGATGTCAAGGGCTAATAATGATCATACTACTGCTAAAGCTATGTGCTAAGTACTGTTCTAAGGATTTTCATGTATATTTAGCTCTCACAACAACTTTCTGAGATACTTATTATTATTATTGCTTCTGTTCAACAGATGAGCAAGCTGATATGTGGCATGTTGTCGTCATTGTTATTAGGTGCTGTTGAGTCAGTTCTGACTCATAGTAACCTCCTGTACAGCAGAACAAAACACCGCCCAATCCTGACCATCCTTACAATTTTTGTTTCATTTGAGCTCATTGTTGCATAGAGAGGCATAGACTGGTAAATTGCCAAATGTTGCACAAATAGTAAGTGATGAGTCTGGAATTCTAACCTAGGCCCATTATTCGAAAAGCCCTGGAACTACTCTTTCCACTCCACTGATTTTCTAATAAATATTAGGCCAAGCATTAAGAAATAATTGGTCCCATCTAGCATTCTAAGTTAAGTTGAATCTCCATATTAGCTTCCTAGGGCTGTCATAACAAATTTTCACAGATTAGATGGCTTAACAGAATAGAAAGTTATTCTCTCAGAGTTCTGAAGTCCAGAAATCCAAAATCAAGATGTCAGCAAGGTCGACTCCTTCTGATGGTTCTGAGGGGTAATCTGTTCCATAACTCTCTTCCAGATTCTAGTGGCTGTTGGTAATATTCATTGGCTTATAGATATATCACTCCAATCTCTGTGTTTGTTTACACATAGAGTTGACTTCTATATATGTGTCTTTGTCTCAAATATTCTTATTTTTGCTCTTTTAAGGACACTGGTCATTGGATATAGAGGTGCTCAGCTGCTAACCAAAAGACTGGTGGTTCGAATCAACCCAGTGACTCTGCAGGAGAAAGACTTGGCAATCTGCTCCCATAAAGATTACAGTCTAGACAACTCTATAGAGTGGTTCTGTCACATGGGATCACTATGAGTCAGAATTGAGTCTATGACACCCAACTGCTACTAATCCAACACCTTAATATTGTTACCATCTAAATAATTCCATCTAAATAAGGTTACATTCTGATATTCTGGGTGGGCATGCATTTTTGAGGAACACTATTCAACCAACTATATCTTCTACTACTAAATGAAGAACAATGTTTTTTCTATTCAAATCCAAAGGGGAAAGAAAATCAGGTGTGCACAGTGTTCCTACAGTTGTTCATTATCAGCCATGTTATATCAAACTACGTAAGATTACATTTTTGACAAGAAATAGTAGATAAGACAATATTTTGGGAAAAGAAGAAGGAATTTGTTTGTGAGAAAGTCAAAAGGCAGACTATATCACAATTCATTATAATTGTCAGCTATCTACAGAACCACTTCTCCCACAATTCAATTTCTTGATACATGACATTTCATAGCTCCAATTCAGCCCATTAGTCCCACATGTCCTAATATTACAGCAGTTTCTTTAAAACTGCACTCTGACAGGAAAAATATTGACTCTATGTGATTTTATTTAAGTGATAACCTTTAGATAATAAACCCATTTGGATATTGTTATTTATTTATATCCTACTTTTTCATATATATATATACCAAACCAAGCCCACTACCCTTGAGTTGATTCCCACTCATAGCAACCCCCACTGGGTTTTCAAGGTGGTAAATCTTTACAGAAGTAGATTGCCCTATCTTCCCTCCATGGAATGGCTGATGAGTTTGAACAACCAACCTTCTGGTTAGCAGTCAAATGCTTTAGATATTGCACCACCAGAGCTCTCTCTCTCTCCCTCTCTCTCTTTATATATATATACATACACACATGAGAATTGGTATTGTTTTTTTCTGTAAAGTATGTATATATATATATATATATATATATATATATATATATATATATACATTTTAAAAATCTATATTTCTGAAATCTCACAATAGATGATGCAGTGACAAAATATGCTCCATATTGCAATGCATATTGGGCATCACATTCATCTTCAAGCTGAAACTTTTTCTCATTTTTCTCCATTAAAGACTTTTGGAAATGTGCTAAAAATAACCATCTTTTAATGTGAGTAACAGGTTAACAAAATGAAAGTTGCTATAGAAACAGAATGCATACTTTAGAAAATGGAGCTGTAAGGAGAAATGATATTTGTCAGTTGTAGTGAACGGGCAAAATCTTATCAATATATATCCCATAGACTGTTTCAGATAGATTGGTACCTGCTGATAGTGATATTTCCCAATATCTTCCTAAGTTTGAAGAATTTATGCAAGCAGTGATGTTCAGCCAAGAATTAGAAAGAAAAAGGTAGCAAATTGCTGATTTTCCTGTACCACTCACAATAAGTAAAAATGGGTTAATTAGGGTAGGGCCTTCATATCACCTTAATGCTGTTTTATTTTGATTTCTTAGCCATTAGTATTTTCAAGGTCATCAGAATTACTGTCATCAATGGGGAGCTCCTAAACCTCTGAGAATCATCATTTACATGCGGTTTGGTGTGCTTGGTTTGTTCTGGGTAGTAAACTTGCAATGTGCTTAAGTAAAGCTTTAATAATTGGATATCTCTTGCTTAACTGCATTATTAATGAATATTTTATTTATTATTACTCTCCAAGTGCAACTTTTGACTGAATATAGCCATGATCTGACCATATTCTATTAAAGAGGAACAAAAACAGTTTCTATACAGCTTGTACCACACTGTTTTTATAGCTTACATTTTTCATGCAGTAAATCCAAATGTTTTACAATCATTAAGAATATATAAGAAAACTCTGCTCCATAACATCCTCTCTCCAGAGTTCAACCTGTGCTGTAAAGCAAGCCACCACAGAAAACATACATTCAGGCTTAGCTCTGCAAAAGCCAAACCATCCTGTTGTAAATAAGTTACTTCTGGTAGAAAAGTCTAAGACAATTTGTATTGATTTCTACCTTTGATACAGATGGCTATTTCATCTTCCTTGCCTACCATCTCCAAATTACAATTTGCCCTCTTGCTCAAATCATTAAAAATGACCTCTGGTAAGTGCATAGGCCTTAAATGAGGCAACTGTACTGAAGCTGCTAAGACCAGCTGGTATCTGCACCAAGGTTATGTAAGGCAGATTTTTCCCTCTCCTAATACATCTGGAAAGCTTTTTCCTCCAAGGAATTTCCAGAAGATTGTAGTGAGAATTGCTCTGGAGTTCAATGAAGTTGCCTTGGAACTCCCTTATTCCTATCCTCTCTCCCCAGTGCCTGGCTCCTCCTGTGTGAGAGGGTAGTAATGGTAACAAATGATGCTGTTTAGGCTAGACAGACAGAGGGAAAGGTAATAGACTCAAACTTAATTGCTTTCCCACTTGAGACTGCAATTTCCTCCAAGATATGGGAATGGCTCTCTAAAGAATGTGGAGACAAGTTAGATTAGGGTGATTTTACAACTTTCCAAAATTCCAGAAGTGGAAGAGTAAAAATGGTCTTTCTTTTTTTTTCCTTTGGTCAGAAAGAGCAGCCAAAAATACTCGATGCTTGTTCTAAATCAAAATACCTGAAGATTGGGCCACAGTGGAGTGGGGACATTCTATTGAATCTCAACTATACATCAGACATTGTACCTTATTTCATGTCATGTTATTGGGTGCTGTTGAATCAGCTCTGACTCATAGGGATCATATGGAAAATAGAATGAAACACTGCCCAATCCTGCACCATCCTCACAATACTTGCCAAGTTTGAACCCATTATTGCAGCCACTGTGTCAATCCATCTCGTTGAGGGTCTTCCCCTTTTTCGCTGACCCTCTACTTTACCAAGAATATCTTTCTCCAGGGACTAGTCCCTTCTGAAAAGATGACCTAAGTAGGTGAGACAAAGTCTGTCCATTCGCACTTTGGAGAATTCTGGCTGCACTTCTTCCAGGACAAATTTATTCGTTTTTCTGGCAGTCCATGGTATTTTCAGTATTTTCGCCAACGTCACAATTCAAAGGCATCAATTCTTTGGTCTTCTCATGTTTTAGCCCATTCCATTTTTACAACAGCCTTGTGAAATACAAATTATTATTGTAATGATTAATGGATTCTTTTTTTTTATCCCAATTCCCTTGGATGCTAATTCTCTTTCTTACTGAACACCGAAGGTAATCAATACTACTGAATTCCCTTTTTTCTCCTATCATGCTTTTTTTTTAAATTATTGTAATTTTGGAGAAAGTTTATAGAGTAAATTGGATTTCCATGCAACAAGTTGTACACATTCTGTTTTGTAATATTCACTGCACTCCACACAATGCAAAAAGCATTCTTCCTACTTCCCTCCACACACACCCACTCCTCTTCATCCTTCCTCCCACCTACCTTCCACATTCCTTGTTCTATCCCTGGGCAAACCTGCCATCTTGATCTCATATGGTTGATTGTTTTAATGAGTGCATACCCTCCTAGTGTTACTATTTGTTATATAGACCTGTCTGTGATTGGCTGAAAGTTAAGCCACAGGGGTTGAGTTCAATTCCCAGCTTGAAGGGTGTCTATAGGCTCTAATCTCTGGGGTTC